ACACACACACACACACGTTTGGAGCTAGTGTGATTCACAACTACCAGGCTTGATCCTGTGCTAAAGACAAAATCTTAGGAATAGAATGGAGTGTGAATGTGACACCTAAGTTACTTTTCACATGTTGTTGTTGTAAAAAGCAATTCAAAGTCTGCTGGAGTTTTGTTACTGTTGGCAAGCTCCCAGCTGTACAGCTACAAGGTATAAATAGATATAGAATATGTTGGCAGCATGTGACCACTAATCAGTAATGGTAGTGTAAGAGACAAGGTAATATGATCATATTAGTTACATTTGGTAGTTGCACCTTAACACGTCATTCAAAAATAATCTGGGTTTGTGTGCAGGATTGGGTATGCCAGCTTGTGTATGTATTTTCTGTGTATTGCATGACTGCATTTGTGTATTTGTTTGTTTGTTGCTATGTGTGTGCTTGTGTGAGTACCCTATTTTGGTCACCATATACGAAAGGTGACACTGTAAAGTCGGAAGTCCCTATCTTGGCCTGCATGCAGCAAATTACTTTTCAAAGCTGTCATAGCTGGAGCTAACAGGCTGGAGCACTGAAGGCTGATATGTGATCAGGCAATATTTGGTAGTATCTGACCTTTCTTGTCTGCTTGTGATATCTATGATAATAAATATCCTACTTACAACTAAAAATACCTTTTATAATTTCTGTAATATTTTTGTGTGAGGTTACATTATCCTTTGAGCAAGAGTAAACACCTATCAGAAAGAATTGACTACTAATACTATTAGTAATTTGTTCTGTATCATGTGCCAACCTGCAGCAGTCAGCAGCTAATGCAGGAATGACATTCCTCTGGCACTGACAAATGAAATCCACAAGCTACAATGAATCAAATTGAATGAATCCTATTGACATATAAAAAGCAAACAGTGAGGCAGTAGGCAGGTGACCACAACCCAACATATAATAGTTTTACACAAGCCATGACACAGCCACAATAACAATCTGTTGAACAATAAGACAGTGTCATATTTGATGGCAACAATTACAGCTAGTATAATGCCTATTGTGTGGTTTTAAATGACAGCAGAGAGTCAATTTGCAAGTACACTGGTACAACTTATCATACTGTTTACATAAATCAGTTGTACAAGTCCTGATTGCTACGTCCCAAGTGTTTCCTTTGTGCTTGATTTAAAAGAAAAGGATGTAAGACTCACATCACAGAGGAGAGGTTCCTCTATTAGGAGTAAAACTGGTAGTGGAGATGGCCTGGGAATTACTTGAGAAATGGTAGTGGAAAGGATTTAGTGAATGACCTCTTCCTTTCTTTAATGTGGAAACATCAAGATTTACAGTGGTGGAACTGCTGGAGTCTGTAAAAAGTTCTGGTTTTCCTACCAAACCCAAACATTGGAACTAATCCCTGGTACTGCAACCAACATATATTATCTTTAAATTACAGCCAGACAACCTTACATGTACTGTATAAATATCAAATGCAGACTTAGGGTCAGTGCCCTCACAACATTTAACTTTTTCAGTTCTTCACAAATTGGCTAAGTCTCTGTTCAGTTTCTTTTCTTTTCTTTTTTTGCAAAAGTCTTTCCGCTGCCTTCTCTGCTATATGCATTAGGTGATGATTTCATGTTGGTCCTGCCATGTGGAGGCCACCAGACCAGATGAAGTTGAGATGAAGTAACTCTGTCTGTCTCCCTGCCATCTGCACCACAGCCAAACCACTACTGATTATACTGCTCACATTGTTGTGGTTCTCTCTGTCAGACTTAAATATACTGAGGAAGTAAATAGGTTGCGGGGTTCGGGTGTAGCTCAAGCTACAGGCGCAGGCAAATGTTTTCATGAATACGTCCTCATTCCCATGAATAAAGATAAATGTTAGAACTCGAACATATGCAGAAAATCTAAACACACAGTGTGAAAGGCAGTGGTGTTTGCAGTGTATTTCACACTTGGTTTAGAGCACTGTCTCATTGCGTGTTTTAATTTAATACTTGCTGTTTTATTTGCATATTTTTTTTCTCACTGTATTGAGTGTGGGTTGCATGTTTTTGGAGCACATTTTAATATTGTTTGTTTGCCCTGCATATAATATGGAATGTGATTTTCAATTACTCACAAACAGAATGTGACCACTCCCTCAAAAGACTGTCACAGTCGTTGATACGAAGCAATGTAGACTGACCAGCATTGTGGACATGCGATTGACATTTAAGACGCATGCCTATTGAGTAAACAGATAAGTGAAGGAATGTTATTATTTCCTGGCTGGCTGTGCAACAAATATTTCCCCTCGGTTTGCGTCATAAAACCTTTTAAGCTGTTCAGTAGTACGGACTACTGAACGTGTGTGAGTAGATAATCGTGGGTGTATGTGTGTTTGACCTCTTGAAGCAGTGTGCCGAGGTGAGGACCCAGCAGGTGTCAATGAGAGTCGCTCCACACACCAATCTTCCGTCTCCTCGAGATCCTCGCAAACGAATCGCAGCTTGCCATGGCCAGCCTCCCCTTCAGACACACATTCATACAGCCAAGCATGCACACAAACAAACTGTACTATAAAGTCAGCATGTGTAGCAAAATGTATATTCTATCCAAATATGATTTATGTGACTTTATGGAGGACACTAAACATTAGCATACCTGGCTGGTAGAATTAGCTTTAGTTTATATGCAGTTATTTTAAGTGTAAACATGCAGGATATCATCTGTGTTGGCCTGTTTCTCTTTAACGTAAATCATTCTAGATGACACACTCATATTTAACACTGACATTCTTACTCACTTGCATGCTTTCATATATTATGTATATTCATTTTTTAAGACTAGTTAACTTGAAAATGTGTCCAATATTCTTTATCCCTGTGTGTCTCTGGCAGGCCTTCTATATGCTTTCATTAATCCCTTCTGTCCCTTCCAGCTTACCTCAGAGAGTTTTCTCCTCCTATGATTCTGCGCTGGCGAGTGTGTTTGAGCCGCAGACCACAAATTGACTTGACGGGGTCTGACAGAGACAAAAGAGGAACCACTGGGTGTGTATATGTGAGAGTGTGTGGGAGGGCGATGATTGTTAAACCATACATTTAGGATTTAGACAGATTGAAAAAACAATAATGTTTGAAATTCATCTTTTAACACTTCATATGAACCTGAAATCGAGTAAATTCAATAAATGAGGGATCATTTTCATAGTGTGTGCATGTGATGTTAAAATCTACAAACATCAAGTCCTTTTTGTAAGATGTAATTTATCATACTGAAGAGACAAAACACACTCCTGCACTGGTTTGACTGTGCACGTGACAAATGGAAGTAATAGCATATGTGCAGGTAATGGATAGCATTGTGTCCTGATGTCTGACAGACAGGGTGAAGCAATAACATCGCTCTCTCCATTTTACCATCTGGATATACACACACACACTGAAGTCCTTCTTGCTTTCTTCTCAGAATCTAAGCTTGTGGCATTTTTTTTTGTCATTTGTTTCTCATTAGTTTTTCAGTGTATATGACATATTGGAAATGTTTGCTAAACACACTAAAGTCTCATGCCGTGCACACTCAGATGCTCCAAATAAGTCAGTGGAACTTTTTTTTTTTTTTAGAGCAACATTAGGTGAAAAACAGACCTGACTGACCTTTGACCTCTTTGTAGATGGGCTGCGATTCACCGTAGTCACAGATGACCCCAGCGTCCTCACTGTGGCGACAGTTGTGCGTGCCGGGTGCCTGTTTGATGCAGTCAGCTAACGAACGCTCCTCGCCGCTGCACTTCACATTGTCCACGTGGATAGGTCCTGTCCCTTCCCCGAAGTACGCCATCACACGGGACTTGGCCACCCCACTGGAGAGAATGGACAGGACACAGAGACATTTCGTTGCCATTGCCACCTAACTTAAATAAAACTGGAAAACTGTTACAGCTGTTGAGGCAAAATGCTAAAATACTAAAATATAAACAAAATCGTATTTAAAACACATAACATCAACAAAAAAGCAAAACATCAGTTAAGAAAAACAACAGAATTTATGAAGCTTTCAGTTGCATTATCTAATATTAAGAGATTCCTCAACATTTGAGTAGAGAAATGTGCGTCTTGCCCTTTGTTTTTGATAAAAGACAACCAACAGCAGTTAAAGCCATTTGCAGATGTGCTTCAACTAGTCATAGTTGATGTAATTTTAAATTTGTATTATGCGTAAGCCAGATTTGATTATTTATTCTCTTTGATTTAAGCTCAATTTCTATTTTATTTTTTTATCATATAAAGTAATTTTATGTATCTTCTCCTAAATACCTTTAACCACGTTGAAATTCTAAAGTTGCAGGCTTAGCTGCTACATCCTTCTGTCTGTAACACAAGCATATAGGTACTAATGACATGTTAGATGTTATGGTTTGACATTTTCTGGCTGTGACGCAAACGGGTCAAAGCACTTTTCCAATCTGATAACAACAGTATTTGTATCATTATCTCACCTCTGACTTTAATTAGGAGTCAGCTAACACACAGAGGCCTGTATGTTGTGGTTGTGTATGTGTGCTTGTCTAGGCTGCAACTGTGACTTTAATGAAGATTGATAGATAACTGACTGAGAGGAGCTCATGTTGCATCCCTGGGGTTTGATGGGTGGCAGGTCTTGTATCCCCCACTCATCCAAAGGGAATCTCATCTCTCTTATTGAGACATCTACAATTGTGTCTGTGTCTCCAATAGCTCCCTGAGCGGTAGTTAGCATGGAAAGGGTGAACCTCCAAGTCACTTGGAACTAAGCCTATAGAGAATGACATCAAGCCTGCTTTGTGTGTTTCTGTGGCAACACACAGTAACACAACATCAGTCAAAAATGAAATACAATCTGCTTTGAATCGTTAATGCTCAAGTTAGAAAGGAAAGCCAAGTGATTTTTCAGACATCATACTTCATGTACAGTCCATTTGCCATCTTTAAAATTCTAGGTAACCATTTTTCAAATGGCATTTTTATAGTGGGTCTGTTCTAAATATTGCATGGGAGGGTGGAATAAAAGATGCAAAATAGGTGACTTGGATAAATTAAATTATTTGAAATTGTTACATAAAGCACTTTGTATATGACATACAGTATAGTTGTGCTATTGTATTGAGTTTTTTTTCCTTTTGCAACATGTGCTCATGGTGCAGCCTCGCAGAAATACAACATAAATGGTTAGAGGTGGATAAAAAAGTTCCCTTTGTCTTCCACTTAATCACTGTTTACACAGTAATAAATTGTAATAGAACTTTAATTATTAGGGTTAGGGTTAACCTAACCCTCCTCATTCAGGGTGACTCTAGGTCAAACTATTGACTTTGAATATAATTTGTGTGAAAGGGTATGTGTGTCTGCATATATTTTGTTTTATCACCCCCAGAGCAACCTGTTACCCTTGGGGACCTGCTGTGTATGTAATTGCCTTTCACCACACCCTGTGCGAGACAGAGTGATGATCCTAACATGGTTTTTACACGCCTCTAACACTTCCACGCTTCCTCTTTCTCTCTCTCTCTCTCACATACTTATGCGGTCCAGATGTGGCTTTCATCTACGCACAGATGTGTCACAGAAAATTGGGTGGCCATGGGATGAGTGTCCCTTGCTGACAGTTTGTTACGGTGCAGTTTTCCCTTGCCATCCCATTGCCATTGTTATGGAAAATGGGACAGTGTCTCAGGAGAAGAGATAATGGGACACAGAGATGATGAGATGAGGTAGTTTGCTTCGCCTCAACATATCTGTCATTGTGAATGTGTCACTTGCACAACTGGCCTGTCCTTTAATTGGACGTTTATCTTGGATCTGCAAAAGGGCACAGCTAAAACCCCTAATAAAAGCAGCTGGCAACACACCAGAGGCTCACAAGAAGTGCTCAAAAATCTGAGTGCACTATTTTTAAAGATTAATTAAGGATATGGTAATTTTAAACGATTCAAAGCATGCTGTAGTTTCTCCATTGTAGGTTAGCTTGAAACTCGAGAAGGGCTAAGAGATGGAGAGATGAAAGACAGACACAGAAAGTGGGAGTGAGTATAAGACAGATGCCAAGTCTGAGAAGTGGAGATTGATTTTGCGAACAGAGTAGGCAGTCTGGATCCACTTAAGTGAGTGTAATGTATAGAGTGATCATATTGCACTGGCACAGCTCACAACTGAGCTTTTATCCAGCATTTTACCTTGTTCCTGACCATGACTGAAAATTAAAAGCATGTTGAAAAAGAGTGGGACAAGAGGGAAGTTTTGGGAATAAGGGATGGTGTGGGGTTAAGAGTAAAGTATGGATGAGAAGAAAGAGTGCATACAGTGTCCTGATGCACACACACCCTTAAACTTAGCCATTTCATGCATCTTGGTCTGATTTAATGCTTATTGGCTAAACACGTACACATGTACTTGATTCAGTTGATGCTTATAATTCAGAATGAGGCAGTAAGTTAAGGCAGAATAGATGAAATGGAAAAATTAAAGCCCGCACTGTCCCAGTCAACATATGTGTGAAATCTGGAATTGGCCAATTCATTCTTAAATTATGGATAAAAAATTATTTTGAGGTCACAATGGCCTATGACCTTTGAGACAAAAGTTCACTTCCTCATTGTATCTCATGAAATATCTATTTGAAATTTTGTCATAATTACTGCTTCAGTTCTTGAGTTGTGACCAAAGACACAATTTTGGGATGTCACAGTGACCTTGATGTTTGACCATCAAAATCTAATCAGTTCATCCATGAGTCCAAGTGGACGTTGAGAGAAGATTTAAAGAAATTTCCTCGAACAAATGGACGGACAACCCAAAGACATAATGCCTCTGACCACAGCTATCGCCAGGGTGGAGGCATAAAAAAACAAATGCAAATGCAGCCAAGGTGTGAATGCCCTAGACCTGAATTAATTAATTGAGGTGCATTGATAGTTAATTATCTTTTCATCATTTCTGTTTTGAAGCAATAATTTGCCACTCTCACAAATGTGTCCTTTTATTATTATAAACCAAATATCTCTGGGCTTGTTGGACTGTTGTTTGGACAAAAAAACTAATTAAATAGGTCATCTTGGTCTGAGCATTTTTCACAATTTTTTATTCATAAAATGAATCTCTTCAAACTGTAATCTTTACTCCTCTCAGCTGAACCTAGTAAGCAATGTGTCGAATTAGCCACTTCCAACAGCTTCATCTGCAAGTCACTGTCCTTGCATCATATTACCCAGAAACACAAGGCTATCAAAGTGGCTACTCCAACACAAAAGGACATACCTGTATCCCAACTGTCGGCACACCACTTCAGCGTCACGATCAGTCCATCCGTCATCACACACAGTCCCCCATTGTCCAGACAGATAGAGTTCCACCCGGCCTTCCCTAGGGCTCTCTCCACCCACAAGCCTTACTGGCACACCTGAAGAACACACAAACACGATTTAGACACACTGCTGGCTGAAGATAACCAAAATCCCTGAGTGTAGAAATACTCAAAGACACTAACACACACATTCCCTAACAATCCTGATCTTCCTGGCTTCACATGTCTGATGAAGGGGGCATGTGTGCTCATGTTCCCTTCAAGCATGCAACCGCTTGTGTGTCCAGAGGGGGAAATTGTTAGACTCCTGTCACTATGAAAAGATCATTTATTTTCATTGCCTCTCTGTTTTTCACACACTCCCTCTCTTGTTCTTTCCCTCTCAAATGGTATTCACTCACACTGTTAATCAAATCAGTCTGGCCTTTATGTTTAAACAATCCATCATCATTTGTCTGCACACAGATGCCCCAGACATGCACACACAAACACACACTAATTTCATTTAAGTGAATGGCAATGTCTTTTCCATGTGTAGACAGTTTCAGGATCAGTTAACACTCTTGCCAAGTGTCAGGTATTTGTATGCCGTTATATATATAGTTGGTTGTTGCATTTTGTCTCTCAGCTATCATATACATTCTGCAAATATCAAATCCTATAACAACTTCAGCAGTTGCCTGTTTATCCTGAAATAAATCATTCCGTGTGACTGTATTTAGTAGAATGACGTGGCGCATTCAAACATTTTGTGTGTAGAACATAAGAATTGTAGGAGTGGGAGATTAAGACTGGGGGAGTTAATTGTGGGAATGTTTACTTCTTAGTTGGTGTTGGCTGTTGAGGAAATGCTCATCTTTGTCCTCTCGCTTAGAAACACAAACACTGCCCCCCCCCCCCCCCCC